AAGTATTTGCTATTGACTGTTCAAATGCGGAGTTTTGCGCAGCGCAGAGTAACGTGTTGTGTGTGTGTGTGAGGGGAACAGGGTCACATCACAGGAGAGTGAACTGTCTGTCAGAGATCATAGCACGTCAGCTGTCTTAACTGCGGCTTGCGTACTGCATCATCACTGTGTCTGTCACGCGACTCTGTTGCCCTTTCGGGCTTGAACTGATGGTAAAACTAATGACATTATTAACTGTCTTGATATTTACTTTGAAAGCTTGAAGCTCACGATTATGGTAAGGGGCGTTACATTTCCGACGCGTGCTTGTGGTGTTCGGCCAATCACAATGCACTGGGTCAGCTGGCCAATCAGAGCAGACTGCGCTTGTCGGAAGGAGGGACTTTGTAGAAAACGATGTGTTTGAGAGAGGCGGGGCATAGAGGACCTACAATAATGTACAGTATTTGAAAAATAATGTGTTTTTTGAACATTAAAGCATGTCAACATATTCTGTTACACCAAATACACCAAATAATGATCTTTAAAATAGCATCATATGACCCCTTTAATTTGCCCTTCCACAAATTAAGGCCTTAAAAAGGTCTTAAATCAGAGCGAAAAATCTTAAATTCATAAAGTCATGGCATTAAATGTTGCATGCACTGCAATAAGCAAATATCTTCAAATAGCTAAACATTATTAAACCAAGATATGCATGAAAATGCTTGAAATTTTAAATTAAATTAAGGTTTTCTGAGCCCATTCGCAAATATTTGTTCTGGTTTTAAATGCATCCATCTTTATTTAAGAATCTTTAGACAGATAAAGACAAAAATACTGAGGAAGAACATCAGGTTTTTGCAGTGTCATCAGAAGGTTATTTCCATCATAGCTGAGCTTTTTTTTTTTCAGTATGATTCAGCTAATACAACTCACTGTGTTTCCTAGACATTCACATTTAGAGAATATATTGACATATTTTGTCGATTCATTCTTTCAATGTTCTTTAGTTTTAAAAAGGTCTAGAAAAAGGCTTAAATTTACCTGCAGAAACCTTAAAATATGAAAGCACTGTTGCATTTTGAACACATTTTAGACTGTTATTTTGCTGTGTTTATACCAAGAAGCTCTAAAGAGCAGTTACACTCACAGTACGGATGGATTGCATATGTCAGAGGCTCAAGGTCTGTCGAAGACAACTGTTTTCTCCTACGATGAATATGAATGAATGCTAACACTAGGTATGTTTACATGCACTAATTTTCGTTAATCAGAATGAATCTAATCTGATTTCAGATTCTGAAAGTTCTCTTTATATGAAGCATTGCAGTCCGATTCACATATTTGTTTGCATATTCCAAACAAAATCTCAGTAAGTAATCTCAGATGTAAAACCTATGTAAACATGCGGATCACGGCCATGTGCTTAGTATTTTTAAATCCAACTGAGAAAATAGTCAGATTCAATCATTTGCATGCTCAATTTTTTTCTGTTGATTTATTCCAGGTCTACACCATTTTAATTCAATCAATTTCATTTGGATCAAACGTCAGTTTGATTGAGGTGTTTACATGAAGAATTTTCAATCCGATTGAGCCATCAATGAACGTAAACGTAGCTGTTGTCTTTTACAATGTGCAACACAAGAAAATGTAGTTTAGTATTTCATGACCTTAATGACCATAAAGAAAAACCGCAGTCAGTCAATACCACTTCATACATCACTTTAGAGTAGCAGTTTAGAAGAACTGATCAATAAATTATGAGCTCTGTCTTGGATATAATGCACATTGACTTTTGTGATGGGTTTTTGTCACTATTAGTCACAATTTTTTTTATTTAGATTTATAACAGTCAACTACAAGATTTATATAGTCAACTGAGAAAACGTTCTTCTTCCCTAGAACGTGTGTTTGTTTTGAATATGTATGGAAGTCCGTTTCTGCCACTGAATAAAAAATGACAAAGATGATTGCGACTTTTTGTCCCACAATTCTGACTTTTTTCTCGCAATTGCGAGTTTGTATTCCTTAATTCTGACGTTTTATTTTCTCACAGTTGCTAAATTATATTTCAAAATTCTGGGAAAAAAGTTAGATTTGCGAGATGTAAACTCACAACTGTGGGGGAAAAAAAAGTCAGAATTGAGAGAGAAATTCGCAATTACCTTTAATAAAAATTATTCAGTGGTGGAAACAGGCTTCCATAAATATGTGATTATTTGTAAAATTTTTCCTGTTTTTTTTTTTTTGCCCATAGATAATGCAATACCTATAAAGTCATGGTTTAGTGACCCAAGCGACACAGCACTTCTTAACCTGCTGCCCATGCTGGATGCACTAAGGTAAAGATTTTTTTATGTGGTTTTTTTATAAGGTTTAAATTTTTATGGTGTTAAAAGGTTAGTTCACCCAAAAGTAAAAATTTGCCTGTGTTTTACGCACCCTCGATGCATCCTAGGTGTATATGACTTTCTGCTTTCAGACGAATCCCATCAGAGTTATATAAAAAATTGTCCTGGCTATTCCAAGCTCTATCATTGCAGTGGGTGGGTGTTTCTTTTGAACAGTCCAAAACACGTTAAATAAAGCGCGCACATCCGTAATAAAACGTGCCTCACACGGCTCTGGTGGGTGAGTGAAGGCCTCCTGTAGCGAATCCATGTGTTTTTGTAAGAAAAATATCCATATTTTTAACGTAATAAACACTTTTCTCTCACTTCATCTAACTGTCATAAGCCGGAGTCGTTCTGGCGGATGACGTAGGACGTTGGCGTTGCGTGATTAGTGACGAACGTGGAGAGAGAACAAAACAAAACGCCGGTCATGAATTAGAAGTACAAACCGAGGATTTGCAAAGAAAAATGTCGGAGGGTTTTCGATATAAGCCAAGAGGAGACTGGTTTCCAAAGTAAGGAAACTTTGCTTCCTTTGCTCCTGTAAACAAACTCGTGAGACTAGCATATTTCAGAGGCACACGTGCGACGCATACGTCCTACGTCATCCGCCCGGAACGCTTCTGCATACGACAGTCAGCAGAAGTGAGAGAAAAGTGTTTATTACATTTGAAATATCTATATTTTTCTTACAAAAACGCATGGATTCGCTACAGTAGGCCTTCACTCACCCACCAGAGCCGTGTGAGGCACTTTTTATTACGGATGTGCGCGCTTTATTTAACGTGTTTTGGACTGTTCAAAAGAAACACCCGCCCACTGCAATGATAGAGCTTGGAATAGCCAGGACCATTTTTAATATAACTCCGATGGGATTCGTCTGAAAGCAGAAAGTCATATACACCTAGGATGCCTCGAGGGTGAGTAAAACACAGGCTAATTTTCATTTTTGGGTGAACCAACCCTTTAACTTGAACCCCACTTCACTATGTGTTCCCTTCTCAGATTCACGGCAGACGTACGATCCGTCCTGAGCAGGAATCTCCACCAGCATCGACTCTGGTGATCATCCGACCGAGGGCTTTCCTCAAGTCCGCTCTTCTTTTATTTAGTTTTTTTCCAACTGCTTCCCTTCGTGACATCTGCCTGTCCGTTCTCCCTCGACTCTTCACCTTTCAGAAATGGCCTTACGTGAGGGCCGTAGGGGAGGAGAGTCTGTCCCGAACTCAAAGGGGATGGAAAAGGCTACATTTTGGGGAAGCTTTTTCCCTACGTTTTTTTTGTCTTTTCCCTTCTTCGAAATGGAGTCTCTGCCTTACAGCTCTACCTATGCTGGTCGCGTGTGTGAGTTATGTTTGTGGTATGCGTGTATGAGGACATCTGCTGTTTTTCTTTTTAGATAAGATAAGATATTTGAGGCAAGAAAAACAGACCTTTTCGTGACTTGGGTCTTCGATCCCAGCTTGGGACATCATACCTCACTTCTAAAGGTGGTGCGAATGGAGATCTGCTCAGAACTGGCCAGCAGCACTCTGCACATCCAATAGAGTTCACTGGAAAACTGTTAATGACACGGATTATGACAGACTGGTAGATTTCAGGGTTATCATGGTAGAGTTGTATATGCTATTATTGAGGTACTGTCTTGGGGTTTTAATGACTTCTGTATGGTAGGCCTGTTCAAATTCGGATCATGGAGATAAATTCTGTGGCAAATTCTTAAGTTTTATTCTTCTGGTTAGTTCTCATCCTATTTTATTCTTGGCAGTAAATGAATTTGTCATGATTATCAGGGAGGATGTAATAGAATACGAGCTTTGAAGAAGCTGAACGACAGATTTTAAGCCTTTCTGCGCTAATTATTCTCTACAGAATGTATGTGGTTGGTTATGAAATCCTACCACTTGGACGCCTTTTTACAAATGTGTTTTTTTTTTTCTGAAAATGTAATAATGGCAAGACTTGAATTTATAAAACTTCATTGTGTTGAAGAGCTGACTGAGCAACAGACACCTTTCTTTTGTACTCAAGGCCAAGTTGGTTTCTCTGTGCACCTGTCAGATAATGTCAGTTCTGTTCTCATCAGTCTAACACTTATTAAGTCTCAAGGCAGCTTCCTGGGACACAAGTCCGTAGACCTGTGCACGTTACTAATAAAAACGTGTCACTATCCTATTCTATGGATTCAGTTTTCTTTGACGATCGTATTTAAAGTTTAAGGGACCAGTTGCAGAAAACCATTTCTAATGCAAAATATGCTTTAGGCAACACGCGTTTCCTTCGCTCTTGATGCAAAAAAAAGGTTTTTTACATTAAAAAAGAAAAACTAAACGAAAACAAAATAGAAATGTGTTTGTTTTAAGCTTAAATTGATTAAAAGTAGTTTGAATCCAGCTTAAAAACAAAACATAAGCAAATTTGTTGGTGGGGTACAAAAAATATATGTAGAAATCCTATCTTACACAATTTGAATTGTTTAAAATCTTTTCTTAAACCATTTATTTTTTGTTTAATATTTTTTGTTAATCTTGTTTTACATGATTTTACACATTGTCTTGTCTTGTATAGTATATATATATATATATATATATATATATATACACACAGACACACATGTGTGTGTGTGTA